AACCGGCAACCTTCTGATTACAAGACGAACTCCCAACTCTTGAGCCACGATCACCCCATTGTTAGTGTAACAGTTCACTGTGGTTCCTCTGTGGGTTCTAGGTGACTACCTGGGTGGAGAAGCATACTGGGCAGGGGGTCTGCACCTCTACACTCCTCTACCATTCAGACCAGGCAAGGGAGGCTTTGGAGACCTTTTTAGAACACATTTCTTTCTCAACGCAGGAAATCTCTGCAACCTCAGCTACGGTGGGTGAACACTGTCGTCTGTGAGATTCAGCTTTTTGCCCCTCTGTCTTTGATACGTTTGCCTGTTTGTGGCTCTTTCACAGTAAGATATAATAAGTTTGTTTCCATCTGGGCTTTGTGACAGTTTTATTTACATGTTTTTCTCAATCAGCTGTTACTGTTTAACAGAAATGATGCCATGAATCTGTAGCGTGCAAGTTGTGCTGCATCATTGTTCCATGTTATGTTTTGCAGGTGACGGTCCACGAGCACACCTTCAGAAGCTAGCTGAGTGTATCCGCTGGTCGTACGGAGCGGGCATCGTACTGCGGCTCGGAAACATCGCCAGACTGGAGCTCAACTACTGTGTGCCCATGGGAGTTCAGAGTGGGGACAGGTGGGGGTCCGGTGCAATGTGACTGCTGCATTTTACAGGGTTCAGTGTTTTTTATAGATACAACATGGGAAGGGCTAACTGGTTAGAAGCCATTGAATTTTCAAAGCGTAGGAGGACTGAGCAAAGTCAGGTGATGATGGCGTTATTGTATCAGACTACCTGCCTCCAGATTTCCCAACTTGAGTTTCTTGTCTCCTCTGTAGGATATGTGACGGTGTCCAGTTTGGAGCTGGAATCCGTTTCCTGTGACCTCACCTGTCTGCCGCCCCGAGTCCTCCAGTCGCTGATGTGAAAAGGAAAACGTTTTGTCATGTGTCACCTGTAACTTGTCGTAGACTGTAACACTAGCATGGATCCTGGATAAAAATGTGCCTGACCTTGCCAAACTCTTCTTTTACATGCAACAAAATGATAGTTAGACATTTTACAGAGCTCAGCTGATTGGTCAGTCAGAAGCAACCTGATGTAAAATTAGCAGCTCTGTAAAAACCAACACTGGTGAAAGCGTTTCTGCAGTCATTGATCGATGATTCCTCTTCATGATTTGTTTGCTTTTCCTTTGTTTGAGGTCAGCAGCACTGGCACCTTGTTTGTGGTAAAATAATCCAACCAAGTTGTTTCCGTGACAACACAAAATAAATAATTTCCAGAATGTTTAAAGATGTTCTGGGCATGCTACATGCCATCCGCTTCTCCAGGAGCATCACATGTTAATCATTTAATCTGACAGTTAAACATACACCGCACGCTCTCTCCTGAGTGTTTGCTCGAGTTGTACTTGATGGACTGCAGAGTAGAAACCAGCACTCTTTTGATCACAACGGTGGCGCGGGAAGGAAGCGAGGAGGAGCGGCGTTCCCGTGCTCATCTGTCAGACGTGCAGAGGCGGGATGCCTCCCCCCGAGCAGCATCCACCAACAGTGCTCTTACCTCTTTTTGATGTTGTTCAAGCTATTCACAAATAAATCACATCTGCTCCCTGCTTTCTTTCCTCTCCCCTGTTTGGTGTCTCAACACAGAGTTGGATAAAAGTAAAAGAGGCGGG